GCAGTATGCCCTGCCTGACCCTTCGATGGTGGCAGCCTCAACAAAATGTGCATTTATTCCGGTGAATGGAGGAGGACCATCGCTGGTGTCCCTGAGCAGGGCCATTACGGCCTCAGCATATAAAGACGACGTGGTACAACATCTTATAGAGGCCCTTTCAACGTCGTCGTGGTCCTCTAGTGAAGAGCATGAGGAATCCCTCTTAAATAACGATGCATGCAATTGAAAAGATGGGGGAGACTGCGGTGTTGACACCGTTGCTTTTGGCCTGCTTGAGGCCTGAGGTACTTTAGTATTGCGAATGAGGATACAATGACAACGATTTCACTATTATATATGTTTTTGATACTGCTTTTGTATAAAGAGAAGACTCTTTTGAAGTATGTTTTTTTTTGTTTGTTTGTTTGCTAGTGTGTAAACGGAAAATCCGATGAATGTTTGTAAGATAAATACGCGTATCTTCTTTTTTCTTGGTTTACTTCCACTGGGTATTTGCGTGAAATTTGGATTATGAGAAACAATACAGAGGTCAGAAGAGCTGAATAGTAGAATCTTAGAGTGTTAGTAGCATTCATATCAATGCATGTGGAGTTCCGCATTTCCTGCATTGACGGCATGTGTGCCTTTGACGCTGAGAGCTTCATCCGCATGCTACAGTTGAAGGATCGCTCTCAGCAAGAAATAGAATTGAAACGGACGCTTGTCAAACTACCAGAGGGGGGCAAGTGTACGGGAAAGGATTTTCATCCTCATTTGAAAATCCAATTGGTCTTTGAAAACTTGGTCTGTATTGAAAGTTCTGTTTTTTGTGGAAACGTCGAACGTCAACAGCATGAAAAACAAGTAAAAACAAACTGGGATGCGAGCGAGATTCGTACGAAGCGGTATTATAGCTGTATTGGAGAGGCTATTGTTGCCTCGCTTCCTTTTTTTGTTGCAGAACGGTACGTAAAAATACGTCTCATACAGCTTGCACCGGAGTTTAGTAGAGAAGAATTGGCGTTAATAAAAGCCTCATATCCCTCTTTCTTTCGTTTGCAGGAGAACAGTCTTTGTCTTGGTGTGGCCAAGCTCGGCATGCGAGAACTTCTCATTACGAGCGGTGGCGTCAGTGTGGCTCTTCAGCCAAAGCAGAGCATGATTTCAGCGGTGGAGGCTCTCAATCTTAATACGGTTGCCACAAAAGGCATGTTTGGAGAAGATGTCGGAGGAAGCGCTGTGTTGACGTTGCAAACTTCCAGTGTTGTTTTTGGTCAAAAATCTCTACTAACATTACTTTTTCATGCCCGTAAAAACATTGGTGCCGTGTCCGAAGTTGCACCCTACGCTGCCACTCGCAGTGTAGATGCTGGAATTGACTCACACAATATTGCTGAGGCAGATTGGAATGCGGACAAACTTACTGAACTGCGTCAACAAATGAGTTCTTCGGCGGTTCACTTTGTGCTTGTGCCGTACATGGTGTTGATTCATATCGTGCTATGCTTGAGCGACGCTGTCTCGTGGCGGCACACCGCACAGACGCTTCTGCTTCTTTGCATTGTATTGTTTGTGCTGATTACGGATGTGGTGGAGATTGGTCTATTAATTGGCTTTGTTTTGGAAACAATTTCGGTAATACGAATGACTGTGCTGTTTTATCGAGTGCTTCCTCGCGTAGCTCCAACAGTGGATGCGGTATTTCCTTTGGTGGATCGAGGAGATGAGTTTCAGGCGGTGCTGTACGGATGCCAGAATCATATTATCAACAGTATGGTGCGTGCACGGCTTTTCTTTTCACAAGGCCTTCAAGCAGATTGCTACTTTGAGTTCACTTTTCTTTTTAGTCGCATACGTCGGGCCAAACGATGGTTACTGCTGTGTTTGGTGACAACGCTTGCTGCCTCGCTTGTTTTCTCTGCGGAGACATTATCGCTGCTTTTCGTTGTGTCAGCTTTTCTGATTTATCCTTTGACGCTACGGGTTCCTTTATCCTACCTGCGTAAGCTGTGGGGACGACAGCTGCCTTTGGGGGTTATATGGAAGGCGCTGACATTGTGTCGTCCAATGCGAGTGTCACGGCTGGTGCTGGTTATCAGGGGGGGGAAAGGAGAGACATTGGTGCATCCTTCATTATCCACCACGCCATTTATTTCTCCAAGTCCGACGCGTAGCCTCATTAATTTCCCTGCAGCTACCCAACTTCTTCCCATAGTAAATGATGCGGATAGTCATTCAGGCACGTTGTGTTTAGGTGCCACACCTGACAGACCAAGCGGGCAATCTAGAAATGCAGGAGAGCGGGGTCTCTTCTCACATGCGGATTCTCAAATTTTTAGGCCCGTAAACAATTCTGCTGCAGGGGATAAAAAGACTCAAAGTGGCGCGGTTGCTGGTAATTATTTTCAGCCACACTCTACTTCACCAAAAATGTTTCCGTGGTCCTGCGGCGAGACACTTAAATACGAGACACCACAAAATTCACTACTGAATCTTGCCCTTGTTGTTATCAACGCTGAAGGATGGCCTGCAAACAGTAATAAGATGAGTACTTCTAGTAGTAACGGTGGAAATAGTTTGATTATTTCAAAATTGCGGCGAATACTGCAGCGGGCGAGGGGGCTTGAACGTCCTCCACCATCTAATTTACAGCGGGAACAATATCAAACATATTTTAACTGTGTAATATCATTCCTGCAGTTTCTACGACGACAGTGCACGCTTAGGGTATATGTGACTTCAGCGTCTTCTTTGGTAACCTCCCCTGCTTCAGACACTGGGAACATGGTAAGGCTAGATCAATTGGCACATCTTTCCTACCTGATGGATAAGGGAGAGGATGACGGTATTACGTCCACACTCCTGGCCCATTCTTCTCAACAGGTGAGTTTGGGGAAGCTGTCAACAGTTGATCGTGTTGATACCAGCACTCGAGGCTTTGCTTTACTAGCGGCATATATGCTTCAGGGCTCCCGTTTTTCAATATACAACAGACCGGGTAACAAGGGCTGTGGGATCATTATTCCTCTCAAAATGGGATCTAATGACATTGAAGTGGCTCCAGAGCCACATCCCTGCCCCCCATCTCTTCAGAAAGCGTTGATAGGTATCTGGAAAGGTTGGACAGATGGAGAACCGCCCATTTTTATCAATACCGATGTTGTTATGAATATTATCAAAACCCATAAAGATTTCTGGGGGAGTGGATGTAGTGATACATTGACTGCAAATGAGGAATATAAAAGCATGATGATGGCGTCACAAGAGTGTGGTGAGACGGCGCGAGACACGTCAAAGCGAATTTTTTCAACTTTCAGCGCGCCTTCATTTGGGTACAAACGACGTCGCGTCACTAACGCCTCTATTCTAAACCCTGAGTTCTTGTCGCACTCCGTGATGGGCGGACAAAAAAATATGGAGATGGGTCTAACTTTGCCTGATGATGACAAGTTGCCAGGGTCCATGGGATTTGTTTCAGGAATACCTCAGACGTATCACCGAGCTACGCGCTCGTGGGCGTACAGCACGCCTACTTTGTATTCAAGTCAACGTCCAGGGTCAATGCCGCGTCTGGGTTCGGAGAATACTAACACCTGGGAGCTGTTGGGAGCAGCAGTACCTGGCAGTACAAGTATGGGGCATGAGAGCACGCCACATGTGGGTGCCGCCCCAAGTACGCCCATTGCAAAATAAATGGCTCTTTACTGAGTATACTCGTAAGTATATTTTTTTTTTTTTTTACGTTGCGTGTTGCCTGCTTGGATGCTTATTGTTGGTGTCCTTTTCTGTAAGCGCCTCGTATTCCAGGTGCTGCTTTTTTTTTTTGCGCACGTTAATGTACTACACTGCCTTTCCCTGATTAACTGAAATTTGGTCTGGCTTTGAAAACGTCTTTCCTCCTGACTTTTTTCCCCGGCATTGGCTAAGATTGTTGCTGGCACCGCTTGTACAGTGCTTTTGGGAGTGCTGCTGTGGCTTCATCTCACCCCTCAAAAGAGAATGCAACGAAGGCACCGCGGTTTGATGTAAATGTGTTAAAAAAGGACGTTAAAGACATGATCTCCGACGACGTGTCGAATAGGTCTCTCTTTGTGCGACTTGCATGGCACAAGACTGGTTCATAGGGCTGCCGGAAAAAGTATGGAGGGGGGGCAATTCCACTTTCATGCGTTTCCACTCGGAGTGCGATGGCACCGACAACAAGGGGCATGATAAAGCACGAAATACGCTGGAACCACTCGAATAAGTACCCGAGCATGTTGTACGCCGATTCATGGTCTCTTGCCGCGGCAAGGGACGCGTGGGTATCAAGGACGACAGTGTTTGTGGCTCCGCTGGACGTCTTCCTGACGCGTCCAGAGCACAGGATCATGTGCGCAATGTCTTTTCACGTTGTAGCTTTGATGATGAGGCTGTTGCGTTGGTCGGGGCTCGCACCTGTGGTGAGTGTCATTTGGGAACACTGGCTACGTGGGTTCGTGGACACACGACAAGTGCGGCTTTGGCCACTCCTTTTTCACGGAACTTCTCGATAACGAGTGGGAGTTGAATCCTGATCAGAAGAAAATGCGATTCATGGGCAGAAACACCACACGTCTTATGATATTGCCTGCATATGTGGCTTTTCTTCTTGGCGACAAGAATTGCTCCATCGCGAAAAAGTACGAGGGTGGAAACGATATCTTGTGCGACGCCTTCAGCAAAGTTTATCAGAGGTTGCTGGAGATTTGCACCAAAAATCTAAAGTCTCTCCCAGCAAAGTTGAAACAGGCAAGCTTGTAAATGCAAATACTTATGTATCTGCTTATGCACACAGCCGATTACACCCTGATGCGGGATTTCCAGCCAGTGTTATTACTATTATCATCTACTTATTTATTTTTGTTCTTAATACACCGGGCGTTTGTTGTTGTGTGGCATGGCCAGTGTTTTGGAGTATCATCTTCGAGCGTTACGACGGCGAATTTATTTTTGCTGATGGGGAATAAGATGAACAGGCGATGCAGGCACAAAATGTATATTCAATGAAAAATTACCGCTGTTATAAAAGTGACCACTGATGGCAAAAACAGTTTTATGAGGACCCCGCTATCATGGGAACTGCCACCGCTGTGATAGGAGAAAGTTTTGAAGAGGCAATGGGTCCAAC